TTCAATATTAAACATATATTTATCTCTGCTTCTCTCTAGTACATTTTCCCTCTTCTAATTATTTAAGTCATTAGTATTGCTGTCCCCTTGTCCCTTTCATCATGTTGCTGCCCTATGCCAGGCCCACATTCTGCAGGTTCTCTTGATGCAACTTTCTTCACAGACTAAGCACCAAAGCCCTTGAGTCTCCAAAGGGCTGCTTGTTTCTCTTGGGGCTAAATCTGTCAGCCTCACTTTGGCTTTGTGCTTGACAGTAGCAATCTTTTTTCCAACTAATGATTAGTAAGTTTTCTTGATATTCTTTAATAGCTTATTTTCTACATTGATATTTTTATTAAAAATTTCTTAATTGCAAAGTTATTCTGTATTTGCAGTTTTTAAAGATTTTTAAAAATTTTTAAAATTATGTTCCATATTCTGGAGCTGGAACTATACTAATTTTTATATGTTTATAATTCATTTTAAAATTGGTAGGGGAAATTCATTATTCTTGCTTGCCACATATTTTTTCTGGAAGATTTTATTGTAAGAGAAAACTTTGCAATAATTTTAAGTAACTTGATCTAATTTTCAATTTAAAAATATAAAACCACTGAAATTTTTTCTCCCTTATTTTTTTTTTTATCAGTATATGTTGGTTATAGGGATAAAGGTTGTTTCATTTTTTTCAGGTTTTTGCATGCACATATCATTAATCTTCCCCTTCCATTTCTCTTCTCTCTTTCTCTCTCTGCTCCAGTTTCATGGCTTTTCAGGGGATTTTGCTGTACACTAGCAAAAAGAGCTTTGTTATGTTTGTGTTATGCCTAAATTATATGACCAAAATACCTGTAATGCCACCATATTGTTCTGCATACGTCATTTTTTCTGGGTGACTTAATTGATATGTTAATCAATGCTCCCCTCTGTAAAGAATTGTAAGTCCCTGGGAACCTGACCTAATTGATATGTTAACCATTGCTGCCCTCTGCAAACAACAGATGTTATCTAAAATTGAGTGCTAAAATAAGTAGACAAAGGATTATTAATTCCTGCTAGACTTCTCTGTCCTCTGCAAAGGGCAACAAAGGTCTTCCTCATTCCTTAGCAGATTTCCTGATCCACTCCCATAACCTGTTACTTTGTAAACTGTGCTTTCTACAAAAAGTCTGAAAAGTTTTGAGGGAGACACACAGCTTTTGCAAACTCCAACTGCACTGTGTCACTGAGCCCAGGATAAAATAAATCAACACTGCTTTTTAAAAACATGTCTTGCCCCATTTTTGGACTTGAGGTTGGAGGTATGAGGAGCTCATTTTTGGATTATAAGAGATTTAAATGTATAATGTATTTTGATCATATCCATACCTCAATATTTTACTCCTGGGGGGCAAAGAACTGAGAATTTTATACCAACTGAGTCCTCCCATCCAGGAATGGATCTTTCTTCACACTTATTTAATGTCCCCAAACACAGTGAATTTCCTTCAAAGAGATTTTGCACATTTGTTACAATATATTTTGCATTTCTTGTTACAACAATATATTTTACATTTTCTGTAGTTAGCACAAATTGAATTGTCTTCCATTATATTACCTGTTGGTTTATGGGGGAAGGATTTAAACAGGGAAGTGGTATAACGGAACTTCTACCACAGATGGGGTTTGGAGGGGTAGGGTGGCAGAGTGTGAGGCAGGCCTGGCTAGGAAGATGCTATCCTAGGACTGTCATAGGGAACAGGCTTTGATGCCCTGAAGGCTTTGCCACTTATGTTATCAGTTTTTCTTGACTTTGGTAGCTTTTTCTTTCCCCTGTGGCTACTTTGAAGTAAATACTTCAACCAGTGACTCAACTCCCAGGTCTTACTTAACACACCTTCCGGGAGGGCTCTGAGACCCCTGAGTGAGACTTGCAAGGAAGTGTGAGTGTTGAAGAAATCTCAAGATGACATCACAACACTTCTCTCTGAAAAACTAAAAACATCTTTGATGTTCCTAGCCCTCTCTCCCCATGCCTTAAGCTGCAGCACACTCAGAGGTGACTGAGCACTCAGGAAGCTGCTTCTAATTATCTTAGGACCTTTAGCAATCATTATCTTCCCTTCTTTGTCAAGGGGAGCCTGGAGTTGTGGTAAGATGAAAAACACCTCGGAGAGGAAACTTCTACCAGGAGTGTGAACACAATAGATTTTACCTTTCTCCTCTTCCCTCCTGCAGTGATTCTGAGTGAGGCTAGGTGAGAATAGGGCATTTTAAAAAATGCAACAGAAGATTTCCTAGAAGAGTTTGGGTATCAAAAGGTTTCAGGAGCTGGGATGTACCGAGTTGGGGAGACTATGAAAGTGTGTTTTAGGACATGTTCACCACATCATTACCAGTAATAACAGCAATTACACAAATGACACCTAGCATTTAGTACACGATGATGCCAAGATGGACCCAGGTTTTTCTTTTGTTCTGGTCTTGGCCCAGAACAGAGCTAATATTGCATCCTTTAGAAGCTCAGCTGTCACTGTTCCCTTTTACTTGCCCACCCTTTCGCTACAAGAATGGTGCAATCCTATTTTAAAATCGTGTCCTACAGATGAACAGACTGCATCCTGCTCCTTGGGTGCTGGTACTTCAGGACGCAGCAGGAACTGACCCACAGGGCCTGAGTCCATTAGGACTTCTCAGGCCTCTAGTCTCCAGGGTCGTCTTTCCACCTGTGCTTGGGCCCAGGACTGCACCAGAAGCGGGCAGAAGGAAACCTGCCAAATGTCAAGAAGACCTGAGCCAAGGCTCTAAGCCCCTGGACCATTGTCGTCTGTCCTATAAAATTTTGTTTACAACGATTTGAGGACAGTGCTGGTTGAGCATCACATCCTCTGGTGAATTAACTAGTGGTCAACTTGGAACACCTAGTTGAACTGAATCAGGGTGGTTCTGGGTGCGGAAGGCCCTCCTGAAGATTGTTGCCAAGTAAAGAAGAAGGTCTTAGGAAAAAAAAAAAATGCCAGGTTTGAATTTGGCTCTCTTTCCTTAAGTGTATGCAAGGAGAGCGTACACTCTTGTTTTAAACTTAATAGGTGAAAAATAACAGTGCCTACCTTATAAGGAGTGGTCACCAGATAACTGCAGTACAAACATGGTAAACACTCAACAGCCTGACTCTAATAAATCTCAAAGTGACAAAGCTGGGCTCCAACCCCAATCATTTGAAGCTCCGGCTTTTTCCACTCAGCATCAGCCCTCATCGGGACTAGACCCCTTAACTGCTAAAACACAGGGTTTTTTGCAAGGGAAGGTTCAAGGCATTTCAGTCAAGTATGTTATATAACTTGTGCTATAAATTAGAAAGCTGACAGTTGTGTCCTGGGTCTGTGACTCAGGTTACGTGCTATGATCCTATACTGGAAAACCAGAAGGGAGAAAAAACTGCAATTGGCTTTACTCTGATTCTCCCATGACTTATCTGATTCAAATAGAAAATCAGAAATAAGTGGATCTTGCAATAATGTTGCACCTAAACCAGACTCCCGAGTTACATATACACCTTCAGGTGTCACAAAAATAACAAGGACTACAGTTTTGGAAAGCCAGTATCATTCATGTCTGTAACACATTTTTTAGTGTTGTGTTCATACAGGACCCGTCACTCACATGTTAACCTGGATCAAGTCACTGAGCCTGAGCTCCATTTCCTTTAATTTTGAGTAACACAGTCCTGTCTTCCCACCTAACAATACTGCTAGAAAGATAATGAAAAACTAATATAAAAATAAGGTCTTACAATTATTCAAGGTTTTTAGAAACACATCAAATTGCTCAACATTTTGTGTAATGCCTGCTTGCAAAATGCAGAGTATAAATGTGGATTCAAGACCTAGGCTCCATTTCTCTAGATGTATTCTTTTTTTTTTTTTTTTTTTGTCTTTTTCATTTTTATCAGTACCAGGGATCAAACTCACGACTGCCTGCTTGCAAGGCAGGTGCTTATGCCGCTGAGCTAAATCCCCAGCCCCCTCTAGATGTATTCTTGACTCAGGCTACATATAACCCATGTTCAAATTTCCACAGGGGAAAATGCTAGAAGCATAAGGTCTTACAGAAAAGGATTTAAATAAATACCAAATAATAAGTAATATGCTAGTTTGCTTTAAAAGTCTAATCTTGAAACCCAAAAAACTCAACACATTCACAGTTAAGGAACCCCAATCTGTAAAAGGCTCTATTTCTCATCCCAAATTTTGTGAGACTCGGGATTAAACCCAGGGGCCCACACAAGGTAGGTAAGAGCTCTAACACTGAGCTGTATCGTTGAATCCTTTTTAATTTTTGAGAATGAGTCTGGCTAAGTTGTCCGAGGTGGCCTCACCACTTTTCTGACTCAACCTCTTGAGTAGCTGGGATTACAGCTTACCATACCCCGGTCTAGGGTCCAATTTCTATAAAAGTGGCTCCTGTAAACCACAGCCCAAATTTAGGAAAGCTTCATTACCCAACAGAGCCCAGATGTGTTTCTCCCTCCCATTTCCTACAGATATGCAAAATGACAAACAAATCCTGTTTCTAAAGGTTTATGTATTCATCTGAAACTTTCCTCAGCTTTTGTGTCCAATACGGTGTCAATGTGGAGAAACACTGCATTTCAGCACCTAGAACACCAGTGACTGCCATTTGCTTTCTTAGGAGTGTTGCAAAGCTCCTGTCCCAGGACAAATAACAAAACAAGAGTGCCTGCCGAAGTGAGAGACCCAATACTCTCCTAGACAGATGCCTATGTACTCGCGGATGACATTTCTCTACAATATGTGGCTCAAAATGAGATCCTTTTAGCTTCTTTTTGTACTTGTACAAAACACATAATGAAAATATTACGAATTAGCTGATCTTAAAACAATGTAAGAGAAATAAAGGGGAAAATATACTGCATTAAATAACTACAACACACAAAGGTAATTTTTCTTTTGGAAAGAAAGATTGTGCCCCATTTTACATGCTGCATAAATTACAAGAAAAAGTTGGATACACAGACTTAGTTGTTTAGATTACAAATATTTATTGCAAGCACATTTCCTTTGCCAATATTAAAAACAAAACGTGACTGGAAACATTCAGGGAATGGAAACTGTTAAACCCATTCCCATGCCATTATCACAATGCATCATCAAAGGTCAAGGTATTTTATAGCTTAAAATTAGGGAAGCCTATACACTATTTAGATGGTGGGAAAGAATAAACAACAAAATCAATCCTCAACATTTTACAGCATTTAAGCACATAAAACTGTACTACTTAATATATTTCTCCATAAACTTTTTGTGAAATTCAGATCTCAGTGTATCATTTACAAATCTTTTGTCTTTCTTCTGATCATCTACACCTTTTGCACAGTTCTTAAAGACAACATCATCATCCCACCTGAAAGAAAAGAAGAAAAGGCCTTCATGTTTATATCAGAGGACAGGAATACTGTGTGCATTGCAAGCCCGTTATCACAGAAAGGTGTTCATCTGTGTTTTTACAAGATACAGCCAAAGAACAAATTGATCTTTAATACAGAATCTTGCTTTTCTACTGCAGGAGGGACAATTCTTTTTTTGTTGTTGTTGTTGTTTTTTCCTTTTTATCAGTACCGGGGATCGAACTCACGACTATCTGCTTGCAAGGAAGGCGCTTATGCCGCTGAGCTAAATCCCCAGCCCCTGACAATTCTTATTAAGCACACACCAAACACTGCTGTTGCTGCTCTGGTAAAAGAAATTCTGTTATAAAGCTGAAATATATTGATTAAATATATATTTATATATGTTGATTAAAGTAGAACTGGTATTTTCAGGTCTAAAACACAGGTAATACCTAAGAGTAGTATAATTAGTATAAACACCATTAAATTATAATAACTGGTCACTTAGTGTAGTTTATATTAGGTGATTCTGAAGAGTTAATGTATTCGCCTATCCGTTAACATTCAGTAGTCATCCACTGTAATATTGTAATATTCACATTACAAAGGAACAAAAAGAGAACAAACTATTAGAATATAATAAGGCCCATATGCTAGATCTCAGAGTATTACCTAGCACACAAACACAGGTTTCCATATTTTCACAAACACCTAACTCTGTAAATATGTATGTATGTACGTATCTATCTATCTATCTATCTATCTAATTCAAATTCAAAACCATCTAATGTGTTCGGATATCCATGTATTTTTGCCAGAAGTAGTTGCACATGCGAAATATGCAAAGAATATAGGTATTTTTCAACAATATTTAAGTTGTCACTAATGCAGTGTACAAACATTAGCAGATGTATAACTGGAATATATTTTTATTTGTACCCAAAAAATGCAGAATAAAGTTATACTGCTTACAAATATCTAACCACTAGTTTTTTCTATATCTGTTCTCAAACTTACTCCCAACAGGCTTGTCCCTCCTCCCACACCGAAAGTTTTCTTCTGTTTGTTAAATCTCAATACTCATTTTACTTATTCTGACATCAATACCTGACCTAGATGACAACCCCTTTCCTCTTGAAATGTACTTTGTCTGCTTGGTTTCTGAGATGCCAATCTCTTCTTGTTCTTATTTACATCTTATCCACTGGCTGATCCTTCTCAGCTGTTTCATTTACTCCATTCAAACAGCAATTTACTAAGTACCTACTGTGTACTAGACACTGTTTCAGGTATCAATAATCAGTCATTTATCCAAACTCTAAACATAATGGCAGGCTCAGCACTCTTCTTTCTAGTTACACTCATTCCCCAAGTGATACTACTCAATGCTGAAGCTCTCAACATTTCTACAAGCTGACAACTCCCAAATGTATTATCTCCAGCTTGCAATAACTGCAGAAACACATCTGCTATGAGTAAATAAGCTATTTACCCAAGACAGCTCTATATAACAGCCCAACCTCTACCATGTTCTAAACCTTCTCCATGTCCAACCTCAGGCTACATTTCCCCCTATAGCCAGCTTTTCAGCTGCTCAGGCTAAACACCTTAGACCCTGATCTGTCATCTTGCAACAAACCCTCCTTTGAGTATACTGTTGCTTCCGCATGAATGGGTAGATTTTTATAGTTTTATAAATTATTGTAAGGATTGCATTTTTACTGGGAATAAATTAAGAAGCCATAAAGGTTTAGAATAAGGAGTTGTTGAGATTTTATAGTTCATGAAGGGTCAGGTTGCTATGTTGACAAAAAAAAAAAAAAACGGGACAAGGCTAGAAGGTGATACATATGCAAGTAGTTAGAGGTACCATGTCACTCATGATGGGCTGTAAGAAATACAGTGATACTTCAGTTCATATGCTGGATTCTTCCCACAATTCTGGTCACAAAACCAGCGGATGAGAGCTGAATCATATTCAATGATTAGGTTCAATGTTGATCTTGTGAGGAAATTTGATTCGGTTCTTGTCCAGTTTGGTTTGTGATCAGAATTGTGGTGAGAATTGAGTTTGTGAACCAAGGCACAACTGAATGCAAACAGTTTAAAAGTTAAGCTAATGGGGTTTCTTATGTAATATAATAACCAATCTTTTTGCCATTCAGCATTTCTAATAAGCTTTTGTCTACATATCACCATTGAAGTACCATGTAAAAGATTTACTGTTCATCTATCCCTCTTTCGCTTTTACTTACTTCTCCACACATATCTGCAGTACAGAAAATTGTTAACATACACACTGAAGATCGCTGTCCTTAGACCTGCTTGTAAGGCTAGGCCTTGGCTGGCATTCAGAAACCTGCACTTCAGGTATATCTTACCGTCACTATACATAACGTGCATTCACAATGTATTTTATGTTCAACACTTATCTCCCTTTCAGGAGTCTGGATTTTAGTATGTGGTAAGCAAAAGTTGCCTCTGTAACTAGCTCCCAAGGAAAACCTCAAGCGGGCAGTCTCTCTTGGGCTTCCCAGGGCAGAAACACTGTGCAGGGAACATTGTTCCCTTTTTGGAAACATTGTTTCATTTTTGTTCCCTAACTCTTGGGGGAAAGAAAAAGCATGGGGAAGCCTGCATGTGGATTCTTCCCACTCCAGTTTGTATCTTTCCCCCTTATGACCTGCCTATGTATCCTAAAGCATCAATGTAAGCACTAGGTGACATGGCTGTGCATCTTTACTATGCTGGCCATGAATACAAGCATATGCCAAGTCTCCTGAATCCCTGCAGTATTTCAATGTGAGTGGTGGTCTTCCCAACTAGTGACACATGCACACAATAAATAAAGTTTACAGGGTTAAGGACTCAGCTTATAACTTACTCCTAGAATTTATATTACTCAGTATATAGTTAGCTACTATAAATATCTACTGGAAATGAGTTTTTTTTCATTTTTCTATTTTCTCAAAAATCAGATATAGAAGAATGTCAGAGGAAGCGGAGTTTTAGAAGCTTAACATAATGCAGGAGGTATCCAATTCATAATATCTATATATAAATCCAACCTATTACTTATACTACCTTCTTTTAACTTTGAAGTTGGCCTGAGGCTGAGATGGCCCAGTGAGATTAAGCAGAGGGTTTCCACTAAGAATGTTTTCCATACGAATCCTTTCTTCTTCAGCTTTTTGTTCTTGTTCCTGACATTGATAGAAAAAAAAAAGCAAACTCACTTACATTAATTCTAGGACATGTTCTTACGTTAGTTCACTAAAAAGAAAAAGATGAATATATGAGAATGTTTGGCATTATTATAAATATTTCATGCTGCTACTATACAGTAAGTAATTAATCTCTGACTCTGGAAAACTGAGGTGCACATCTAAATCTGTTTTCTTCTGAGGTAAATACAAAATCATCTTAATATTTAAGAGTATATCAATAAACATAGTACTTTATATTTATAATTTAAGAACACATTAAACATCAAAAACATTTAGCAAAGCTAGTACCTCAATTTTTAAAGAACTATACACAAACTGATCAAAACAACTTTCTTTTGAATTTCAAAACTTGTATCGTAAGATTTTAATGACAAATTATTAACTAAGAAGCAACTACTAACATCAAAGTACCACAGAAAAGATGACATTCCATTAACATGATCTTCTATTAATTTACTCAACATATATTCATTTTTTTATGACTTACTGCTATAAATCATCGGTCATACCTTCAGAACAAAATCCAAACTCCTGTAACACTGGTTTATCAACTTTAAATGCTCAGATCTGTGATAGTCTTCCAGTTTCATGTCTTAATCTATGTGTCTATTTCCCCAAAGATACTGAATTAGATCTTCTATAAATGGGAGACTAGGGGCATTCAAAGTAGTTAGGCAACTTGCCCAAGACTGCGAACGATGCATTTCATTTTTATCCAGAAAACTGGGAAGTGAGAAAATGCAATTTATAGGAAAACAAAAAGGGAAATTTCTTTAGGTCATGCTGCTCAAAATTTATGCAAAAATCAGTAATTATGCTTCAAATAAAAGCACAGCTTTTATAAAAGTATATACATTACTTAACAAATTATACTATACTTAAGATACAAATTTTTTTTTGAGATGCTACAAAAACAGGCAAAGTTGTGTTCAAACTGTATGTAACACATCGGCGCTGGACTTTTTAATGCTTGGAGTACTAATCCCTTTAGAGTCACCTGATTACTACACACAGCACTATCAGAAAAAGGTATCTACACCTCCCATTATTCTCATACCAGGCACACAGACCAATGGTTGGCTAGCCCATGGGTCAAATCTAAACAACTCTTCCTCTTTTTTTGAAAATAAAAGATTTTTCTGGAACACAGCCACACCTACTCATTTATATATTTTTCTACAGCTCCTTTTGTGTTCTAACAGCAGAGCTCAGTAGCTGCAGCAGATGCTGTATCACTATCCACCTTAAAATATTTATCAGATAACCCTTTACTACAGAAAGTGTGCTGACCTGACACAGGCTACAGCATGAAAATACTGTTGTGGGACACATCAAAGTAACAGCTGATGGAAAGACAAACAGGACAAAAGACCAAGATCACACCAATACCAACACATATAGAGACCAGATGAAATTCCTTTAATCGCCAGGTCTCTGTCTGAAATGTTTATCCTCCCCCAAGGTCAACCACAATCAATTATTCAAATTTCTCATCTCTCTGTGCACAGAGGATAGGCACACAGAAAAACGTGGAATGCCAGCCCTCTAGTGGCAAGCAAAAGGTACTTTCGATGTTCTTGATTCTTTACTTTCATTTTTCTTCCAATCTGAATTCAACAGTCCTAGAAGTATATCTCATATTCTACTTCTTTCTGAATTCTTCCTTGATGCTTCTGACTCACGTGAACTGTATTTCCTTAGATTCTGAGCATTATTCTCTGTCAGTGTGTTTCTTCGAAGGCTTTCTTTTTAAAAAATGGAGTAATTCTTGGCTCAAATAAAATCTTATACCAAAGTCCACAGGAAAAGCTGTGCTCCTCTAGCTGAAACCAGGGGGAGGTATCTCTACTTGAATATCTTACCATGTGTCAAATTCAACATGTTCAAAGCAGAACTCATCATCTCTTGCTGCTTAAACATGTCTATTCCAGTTTCTCTGTGTTCCTAACTTATGGAATAAGTTACTTATTTTTTGCTGCTGCAATCAAACCATCAGCATATGCGGCCAACTCCACCTCCATGATTGCTCTATTAGCATTTATTTCTCTCAATTGCATCTCCCATCATGTAAGGTAAGATTCTCTTAACCGCATGTGAAGATTGTTGAAAGTTTCAGTGTTTCCTAATCCACTTTCCATATTTTTGTCATAGTATTCTTTCTGTGTAATCTTATTAATCTTCTACTGAAATCAAATGGCTCTTTATAACCTTCAGAACAAAATCCAGACTCCTGTAACACTGGTTTATAAACTTTAAATGCTCAGATCTGTGCTTGTTTCCCAGTTTCATGTCTTAATCTATGTGTTTATTTCTCTAAAGATACTGAATTAGACCTTTCTTCCATTGTAACAGTGGGGGGTCTGGGGGCACTCAAAGTAGTTAGGTAACCTGCCCAAGAGTATGTAAGACCTACACACAGATTGCTTCAACTACTGCTGAGGGAGGAGACAGAAAAAAATCTTGTAGACCATGACTATATATTAACCATCATTGATTTTCCTGACACTTAATGACTTAGGATGTCATAAAAATAATCAGATTTATAGCTATATAGGGTATTGTCATGTTCAGACACAATGAAGAAAATTCCTAATATAAGAAGGTATTTCTGGAGTTAAAAAAAATGTGTGAAAAGACATGAAAATGTAAATACTTAGCACTTTGATTTTACCTTCCTGGCCTGCTCTTCAGCTCTTTCTTTTTTAATTTTTTCCAGTTCTGCAAGAAGAGCTGCAGTATCATCATCATCACTCTCCTCTTCAAAATCTTCATCTTCCTCCTAAAAAAGGCATAATGATGATCCAGGAGATTTGAGAAAAAATACATATTTACTTTTTCCCCATATAAATTGCACATGCCAAATCTCTGAGACAGAAACAAACTTTCCTTGTTGGAAAAATATACCCAAATACAATGATTAAAATCAACAATGAACCAAAAAACATAAAGCCCACAAAAAAGAAAAAAAAAATCTTTGAATTTTAACATGTCACCCTTTCACAAAGTGCCTTCAGATTTACATGGCCAAAAAGAACTTCCACATGAAAATATTCTAAAATCAGAAAGGGAATATCTCATGATGAAGTACTGTATATACATATGGTAGAAGAAGAAAAAATTTTACATAGCTAATACATAACTATGTAAGTTACAATTTATGCAATTTACATAGCAACTGTAAGTTAGCAATATGAGGTAATTAGATATACAAAAAGGGTACTAAATAATTTCAAATGAATAATTATTAGATTTCACTTAAAACTTGGATTTCTGTCTTAATGAGTGCCAGTAATTTTCAGTTAGCTCTAGAATTGCTGACATATGTGCATAGATACTATCTAGATTTTTTTCCAGTTATGTAGAAAACCTCAAATTACAACCTATAAGGCACCACTGAATTTTTAATGTGAGTTCATGTGTGAATCCTTAACCTGATTATTTCCTACCCTAAGCACAGAGGGAAATCTACATGCATTGAAATCCTGAAAGGAGCTTCAAATCTAATAGGGAAGGCCCATGGGTATAAAGGTAAGGGGTGCTGTTTACAGATCCCAGAGCCCAGCCTTAAGCAGTCCTCTGGAGGAAATATGCTAGCACAACCCTGGAGGCCTTAATATAGGTAATGTTTGAGAAAGAGTGATCAACATTAGATTGCTTCCAATCTGGTTGTCAAGAACTCAAACTCCTAGCTGTCAAGTGCTCTTTAACTCCTTAATGTAAAATAATACTTTTTATTTTTTTCTGAATTATTTTTATTTTAAAATGAACTGTAAAGGTTAGGGTTGAGGTTAGATATATTTGACTAACACTATATGAAAACAAATATGGGTCATTTCTAAAAGTTAGAAGCATTAAAAAAAGGTACTCCAGAAAAACATAATAAATTATTAGAAACCAAAGGAGAAAATACAACATACATCTGTTAGAGGGTCATCTGCATCAAGGTTGGCAGCAGGAATCTGGTCTAACCGAGGTTTCTTTGACACTGAAGAGGAGGTTGTGTGTTCTGAAGGAAAACAAACATCCTTAAACTCACTGAAACAACTACTGCACTTAATGTTTAATCGGCACAAAGAGCCCATATGAAACCGTTACAGCAGTATCAGAATTCACAAAAATAGTAACACTTCCCATTTGCTCTATGAGAGAAGAACCAGCAACAACAGAGTTTTATGGAGGGATCATTTGGGAATGGTGGTGTACCTCGGGTTGGACGATCCCGATTTTTTTCTCTTGCAGCAGCTCTCTCTCTCTCTTCCAGTTCTCTCCTGAAGTCCCGATTACGAACCTCCTCAGGGGCATCCTGAGTAGTCTGTCTAAATTAGAAACAAATTAGGACAAAAATGTTAGCCCACAAAAGAAAAAAAAAATTACATGGCTATAGCAATAAGATCAACTGAGTGCAACTTTGTCCCTTGAGCAAAAAACAAGAATGAAGACAAGATAACACATTTGTTTCTAGTACTACAATATGGCTAAAGATTGATTCAACTCATAAGCTTGTTACAAAGACTTTTATCTCACATGAACTGGTGCTTATAGTGCTCATAATCTCTCTAAAGTAATACATTAATTATCATTTTATCTATTTGTGAAAATCCCTGGTTAGGAGGAATGTATGGTAGCACTTCAAAAACCATAGAGCATAATTTTACTGTTAAACCCTTTATTTGCATTCTATTTCTATGAAAATCAGTGATACAATTCAACCATGATCATACACCATAGTCATGCCATTTAACAGTTTTATTTTGTGAATAAGAAAAAATGGAAATCAGTATTACCTGTATTTTATCTTTGTATGAGATGGAAGGTCCCTACTTGAATATTGTTTTGAGAGTTGGCTCAAATCACCTTCTCCTTTTCCTCTTCCACCTCTTGCAGGTTCAAAAGTTGGCCTGGCTGCTGTTGTCATTTTTTACGCTTTGAAAAGAAAGATGTTATTTCCTATACACTCTCATTTTATGTATTACTCACTGACATCTACCCTTGTGAAAAACCTCTCAAAATGCATTCCACAAAAGCTCTGTACAAGGAATATGGTGTCTGACGTAGCTTTTATGAGGAACGAAATATTCTGTCATAAACACTGAGTTCTTGTTTTTGAAGAAGTTTTGGTTGCGCAGCCTTGAGCAATTCCATTATCTTGTTTCTGTCACTTGTAGAAATATGGCTAATCCTCACGAGATAGGTCTGGTACGGGACGACAGTAACAAATCACTCTGTAGCCCTGGCTGGTCTCGAACTCGCAACTAACTTCCTGCCTCAGCCTCCTTGAGTGCTAGGATCACGGGAGTGCGCCACCACGCACTCCTAAAATAAGGAACTCATGCTTGGTTACTTTCTAGTTTGAGCAACCAAAAAAACTGCCTGGCACGTGTAGCTACCCAAATTCCGATACTGTTGGCAAAACAGGTGAATGGACTAGGTATGAGAAACAAGATTGTTTCTGCCTTTCTTTTTAACACACGTCACTTAATTATCAAAAAGGTAACGGAGTGTATCCAGAGGGGGAAACAGGGCTTTCTCGTTAGGGCGAAGCCGCCTCCCGTGACATTGTCGCTCCGGTACCCCGCGAGCCCGCCCTCGACAATCCCCACGAACTCGCCGCCCTTCTCCAGGGGGCGGCCTCTGCGGTGCCAGCGACCCGGGCCCACTGAGGGCGTGAGGCTCAGCTACCTCGGCACCCGCTCTGAAAACTGCGGACGCGCCCCACTAGCCCGTCGCTCTGGGGCCTCCGCCACCCGCCCCGGAATCGACCCCAGCTGCCCTTTCCATTCCCACCCGTATAAGGAGGATGATACACTGCAATCCTCCTGCCGCTCACTTGGGCTCAAAGATGAAACAGCAGCCTCCAAAGATCATACAAACACCATTGCAACTCCTGAATCCCAGAATCCTCTGCGTCTACGACTTGAACCCGAAACCCGGAAGCAGAACCCAAACTCTCTTTTTTTTGCTTTCAGAGGCGGAGGCCACAACCAATCCGCAAAGGCTCTGGAGGAAGTCGGGATGACGACACCAGGGGGCGGGGCCGAAACAGCCCAGGGGGCGGGTGTTTGAAATCCGTGCCTCAGAAGAGACCCTAAATATCATTTTATACCTTGGAGAACCAATTACTTAATGTCTTTTCCTTTCCCGACCCCCTCCCAGACTCCTCCATTCTGGTTCTGCGTGGATGGAAAGCCCCGGGTAGCCGACACCAGGTCCCCGGCTAGGATTACACAAACTGTTTAAATTCAACGGCTTCTGCTTCCGTCCTTTCTCCTGAGCTAGACCCAGCAAGCCTAGGGAGTTGGGCTACGGAAAGACTAGTGTTTTCATTTAATTGGATTTGAAGAAAGAACAAATATGTTACGGGGGCAGCTACGATCTTTATAAAGGTACCATTCCTGCAAAAATATTAAGACTTCAAAGCAAAGGCTGTGGTCGTATTGTTTGTAAAAAATTTTTTTTATTAAAAGCGTTTAGCGTTACTGGGAGGGGAGATGTCAATATTACGTTTACGACCTTGAACGTTTAGAACGGTGGGCCCAACTGCCAGGAGCGCGAGATGGAGTTAAGATGGCTACTCAAGCGTTATGTGAAGTTTTAAGGAGGCATGGAAAAGCCAGGGCGTGGGGCGGGGGCTCTCCTCCCATCCTTAGAAAAAGCCTTCTGAGGGCAGGGCTTAGTTTGTCTTGGTGTATAAATCATCACATAGAGATGGGCCTGACTTAGATTCTCAGTAACTAATTGTTAAATAAATGAAAATCTGGTTTTCTCAACTTAATTTCATGTGTCAGGATCCCATAAAATTTAACATTTAAATACTTTTCTCCTTAAGTTCTTTCTTTGTAAAATTTAAAAAAGAAAAGTAGAAAAAGCCCCTTCACTTGAAGTTCAAGATGTAAATCTAGATTTTTCGTAGGAAAGGTATTCCTACTCCTTATACATCTTAAAGGACTCTTACCATCGTACTAGTAACTGAAACCAAAACCCCAAATTATCTGCCTAAATTCCTTTTCCTCCACTTTTGCAATCCTGTTTATTTGCAAGTCTTGCCAGTTCTTAAATGTCATTCATAGATCCATCTTCCTCCAACTCACAGGCGTCTTCCACTTATCTTTCTGCTTCTTTTGTCCTGCAGTTTTGTATGTAGCAGTGGAAGTCATCTTTCAAAATTCATCAACTTGATGATGTTATATTTCTTGATAATATTCTGCTGCACATAGTCACATAGTCACATTTCTTAAGGTGACCTGAAGTCCAATGGAGTCTGGGTCCTGCTTTGTCCCTGACTTGACTTCTAATCAATCTTACTAACCTCTAGATGTAAAGTTGGTATTTTTTCTGTTTAAAGGAATTTGTGCTAGGTTTTTGTCAGTTTTTTATTTTGTTTTGTCTTGTTACCAGGGATCAAACCCAACCTTGTGCTTGCCAGGCGTTTAGGACACTGAGCTAAATCATTGGCCCTGTGCTAGTTTTTTGTTGTTGTCTCTGATCCAAGATAACTATTTTGCCATCCTTCAAGTCTCAGCTCAGCATACTACAGGGTTTGTGGGTTTTCCCTGACATCTCTATTTGCACCTCCACACATACCATCACATCAGCCTATTTTATTTTCTCACAGCTACGAACACTGTCTGTATATTTTCTGTTGCTTGGTTTTGATCTGTGAGGCTGCATAGCAAGGGCATTGAGAGAGAGAAAGAGAGCGATCTGGCCTATGTTGGTTCTAAGTTACAGTATAGTACTTTTCCTGGCTATGTAACCGTAGACAAGTTATTCTCCCTCTCTACGCCCTCAGTTTCCTTATACAAAAACAAGGATAATTCTAGTCCATACCTCATACTGTTACTGTAAGGATTAAGTAAAATAATACCTGTAAAGTGTTTAGAATTGTCTCAACATCAGTATTTGGTAAATAAATGTTAGCTATCATTATTAATATTATTTTTATTATTATTGTCTATCTTCCTGTATTAGAACGTAAGTTCCAGGAAAGCAGGAACCTTGTCTCTTGTTCACTGGTGTATCCTCTTCATGTAGAACAGTGCCTGGCACAAAATAGGTACTGAGTAAGTATTTGTTGAATGAATGAATGGATGAATGAATGCTGCACTATGAAATAGAAGAATAAGGTAACAATGGCAAGAAGGTGACACAATTATAGACAATAATAGTTTTATATTCTAAATGTCTTTTATCAACTCAAGTGAGTCACCCCAATCCATTAAACTATCTTTTGACTGCCAACGGTAATCAAACTCCCAATAATTTAATTAACACCATGTACTATAATAAATTAGTCCACAAAATTAAAACTTTTGACTAAAGTGCCTGAAAATATTAATAAGAAAAAAATCTAAAATTGTTTTACTTAATTTTTAACCTAATTTTTTTTTGAGATGGGTTCTCATTATGCAACTTGGGCTGGGTTTGAATTCACTGTGATCATCCTGCCTCAGCCTCCTGAGTGATAGGATTACAGGTTTGTGTCACAACCCGTGGTTACTTAAATGATCTGAAAGTACCAATATGAAAATGAAATTATAAAACCTTTGATTTAAGCAGTTTGAAAATATTTTTTAAAAAGAAAGTAAATGTCGAAAAGTTTACTGATACTTATAATTCATCCTGTCAGTTAACCTAGTTGGCAAAGATCTTTTAAACTTTCATAAATTTTTGTATCCATTTTATTTTTAATTTTTTAAAAATTTTTATATGTTTTGTTTTAAAGATAAATACAGAAAACAAAGACAAACAACAAAAGAGACAAACAACTACAACAATTTTAAATCAATTACTGCAAAAATCTAGTTTGCAAAAATCTACCCTGAATTCTGCTTGCCAGTTCTCTTATATTTTCCTAAATGGTTTTCTTTCTGCATGTAATAATAATATCCACATTCCCCTTTTTCTTCAGCTGTATTTATCTCTTCCACTTCTTTTTCCTTTCTCCTATTTTTGAGAGTAGAAGATATTTTGACTTCTTTCCAATGTTGCAAATGAAAGAATAAGTAAATGGGTGGATGGATGCATGAATGAGTTTTATCAGGAAAAACTGTTCTGATGTACAAAGTTATTGCCTTACTTTGTTATATTTTATTTGTTTATTTTTGGTACTGGGGATCAAACTCATGACTTTGCACTTGCCAGGCAGGCACTTATGCCACTGAGCTACATCCCCAGCACTCTATTATATTTTAAAGGAGAAAACATTAACTTACATTTTGAAATCCTGGTTTCAAATGAAGATATGACAAGATCCCGAGAGATGGTTTCTATTTGGGAGACAATTGCTAAATTAAAAAAATTATGTGATGATCTGACTTTATATATATTATCAAAATCCTAATTAAGTTACTCAATACCTTCAATCTAGTTATAACTCTAATACACTGTTGCCATTTTTACCAGTTGCTTCAGTTCTAGTAACCCCCTTATTTATATGGGTATCAATTCACAGAAGGTAAAAATTTTACTTAATATTTGAGGCTTTTAATACAAAATAGCAAAACAAAACCAATGCTTATGGGTTAGAAATCACATTTACAAATAAAGTAATATAAACAATAGGATCTGCATTGAAATGTTAAACTGCAAATGTATTTTCTAATAATGCAAGAAGCTAGTGCTTTAATCTGTTTTGACATATAAGAAAATAGAGAAATAAAGTGACTTGTATTCTACCAATAAATTGCTGATTTTAAATGAAAACTCTCTGGGACCCAGAGAGGTGGCCTCTTAGAAAAAACCTCTACAGGATATATCATTCTCTAGATTACTGATACGATTATAACAACCATCACTAACCTAACCACATAGCTATCTCATTAGCAGGCCAGACTATTATTACTAAGAAAATTAAAAATGAACACATTAAAGCAGTTAAAGAACTAAAGTACAGAAAATGAAATGATAGAAAAAGACATGCCAGGCAAGTTATAAACAAAGCTTTAGCAATATTAGCAAAGCATTCTTTATATTGAATAACATTAATAAGTACAAAATAGGTATCTTATTATGTCACAAATATTTGCTAGAAAATATTACAATCATGGACATATATATAGATAACCACATAGTTGGAAACATATATAGCAAAAAAAAAAAAAATTATAAGAAAAAGCTGACCAATCTGTGATTATGGTGGGAATTTTTTTCACATAGATTCAGCTTAATAATGCCAGTGCTATAATATGTGTTACATGAGTGCATATGTGTATTGTATAAATGCTTATTGTATTTTTGTATGTATATGAAGCCCTACAACCAAAATAGGAAAACTTTATTATTTTCAGTGACCTTTGAACATTTGCCAAAACTAATTAAGTATAAAGACCCAAAATAAATTTCAATAAATGCCTATGTGTACATTTCTAAATGATACTTAGCCTTGTTGATCTTTGAATCTTAGTAAGTTTTAAATGTTTATATAAATGAATCGTATATACTCCATTGTATTTTGCTTTTTTCTCTCAATATATGTTATGTGTATCTGGCAGGCTTTTAGAATTTCATTGTGTATAAATGCACACTATATTATTCTATCAATTAGAATTCCATTATGGTGGTATTACAAATAATGCCACTATAAACATTCGCAGAAACGTGTGTGTGTGTGTGTGTATTCATATATGTGTGACTATATAACACTTAAATATGTATATTTATATGCATATATATTTATATATCTCATTAGCAGGATAAGAATTCTCCAGTTCTATAATCTTACCACACTTTTTCTAACTTTTCATTTTCATCTCATGTATCTGTGTGTAGTGATACATCATTGAAGAGCCAGGCATAGTGATGCATGCTTGTAATATCAACTCTTGAGAGGCTGAGAAGGGAAAATCATCGTACATTTGAGAACAGTCTTGAACTACAAACTAAAAACCACTCTCAAAAAAACCCCCCAAATCACTTAATTTTTATTTCCTTCCTTCAATACTAATTCATATGCTGTTGTCTATTTGGATTTCTTCTGTGAGGTGCTTTTCTATCAAATTATCTTTATCTTAGTGAATTTCTGTGATTTTTTTTAATACCTTGGATACAGATTCTCCCGTACTTATTGTACTATATGTATAATTTCCTAGTTCTTGGCTTCTCCTTTTGGAAAATTTTTAAAATGATTTTTTGTCTTGTGTGTTGGTCATGGGCATGCTAGGCAAATGCTCTACTGCTTAAGCTTTCTGTCCAGCCTGATACTGATTTTGATATACAGAAATCTTTCATTTTAGGGTAAACTTATTAATCTTTTCCTTTGTATTTATAGCATTTCTTGATTGAAAAATGTCCCTACCTTGAGGACATCACAGTTTGCTCAGCTATTATCTTCCCAAGGTTTCTTAGGCTTTCCACAGCTCCACTAGAAATTCTCTTTTGCACAGGGTTTGTAATCTGGCTGAACAAGTCTTTTTACCTCATTCCTCTTTTATATGAATACATTTGCAATTCCTGATCTTTTGGACCTTAGTATAAAATTTAGGAACCATTTGTCAGGTTTCACAAAAGTACTTTTGGTATTTAAATCAGGATAACATTGCATTGAATAGATTAAGAAAAATAGACATTTTGACAACATTGATTCTCCAAATACACTAGCAGCTAATATATCTACTTTTGTATTTACTTAGGTAATCTTTAAATATTGTATGTATAACAGGCTTCTAGAAATATTGCAAATGTTTTTAGTTTTAGGTCCTACTTAATATTTAACAATACTGTAAATCGCATCTTTCTTAAATTTTGTGTTTCTACTGTATAGAAATATAATTGATTTTTATATATAGCTATTTTAAATTCAGAGAACTTGCCAAACTGTCCTATTATTTCAAATGGTTTACTTAGATACTTTTTGGGTTTTTTCACATATACAGTCATATCTACAAATAGTGATAATACTGTTTCTTTTCATTTTTCTTCTTTCCTCTCCTTTTTTCCTGGCCTTATGTTGGCTAGGACTTTTAAGAGATTTTCAAATAAAATGCTGATTGCAGGCAGGCAGCCTCTTCTTTTCTCTGAACTGCAAAGGAAAACTTAAAATTTTTACTATGAAGTGTGATTTTGCTGAAGATTTTGGTAGATATGCTTTATTATTCTTAAAGGTTTTTTAGTTTGCTGAAAAAAAAAGATTTTTTTTTTTTTTTTTTTTTTTTTTTTGTCTTTTTCCTTTTTATCGGTACCGGGGATCGAACTCACGACTGCCTGCTTGCAAGGCAGGTGCTTATGCCGCTGAGCTAAACCTCCAGCCCCTGGAAAAAAAAGATTTTATCGAATTTTTTTTTCCTGCATTTGAGATTCCCCTTTAATTTATTGTAATGTCTGTTGTTACATTAACTTATCATTTCTTAAAGTTTTAAAATTTGCAGCTTGTCTTTTTTACTGGAATAAACTCATCTGTATCATGATGCATACATTCTTGGAATTAGTTTGTTCAAATGTTTAAGGATTTTTCATCTGTATTTGTAAGAGAAATTGGCTTGTTGTTTTCCTCATAGTGTCCTTGTGGGGGATTTATTTATACAATATAATTTGTATTATAGTATGGATTAGGAATTATTCTTTCTTTTTTTGATCTCTGGAAATTTGTCAAAGATTGGATCTACATCTTCCTTGAATGTTTGATAAAATTTGCTGGTATAGCCACCTAAGCCTGGAGTTTTATTTTCTGGGAAGAGTTGGATGACAGCTTCTGTTTCATTTTTGGTTATGGATATAATGTTCCATTTCTTTGTGTCATTTTGCTATTGTATTTATTTTATTTTGTTTACATAAAGTTCATATTATATTTTCTTTTTTAAATTTCTGCGTTATCTGTAGGGATAGTCCCTTTTTCTTTCCTTATATTCATTATTTATGTCTTTTACTTTGTTTTTCAATCGTTTTTACCAAAGATTTTCAATCTTATTAGAATTAAAAGAAAAATTTTGGGTATTTCTATTATTCTCCATTTTATATTGGTTTTGGTATTTCATCAATTTTTGGCCTGGTTGTTTTCTTTCTTCTACTTTTTTTTGCTGTTTTTTTTAATTTCCTCAGGTGGATACTTAGTTGATTTAATTTTTTTTTTTTTTGTCTTTTTTGTTTTTATCAGTACCAGGGATCGAACTCATGACTGCCTGCTTGCAAGGCAGGTGCTTATGCCGCTAAGCTAAATCCCCAGCCCCAGTTGATTTAATTTTTAAGCCATTTTCTTTTTCTTCAATATTTACTTAAGGTTTTATATTTCTCTTTTAATACTGTTCACTAGTATCTTATATTTTTATCATTTTTTGTTAGATAGGTTTTTAAAACTTTTGTACTGATTTGTAAGGGCTTTTTAAAAAATGTTTTGGATATGAGGGGCTGGGGATTTAGCTGATAAGATTTTAAATGTAGTGTTTTTACTCTCATTTAGATCAAAGTGTTTCCCAATTTTTGTTTCATTTTATTAAATGTATTTTTAATTTTGTAAGACTATAAATCATTTTGTTATGATTTTCTAACTTCGTTGTGGTCACTGCTTTTAACTCTTTTATTAAAACTTATTTATAGCCAGTTTTATGGTTAATTTTCTAACTTCATAATACTTGAAAGAAATTATATTCTATATTTTGAGAGTACAGAGTTCTATATTCTATTACTTTTTAACTGTTTGATATATTAGTGTTCTGGTTTATGCCTATCATTCCTGTGTCCCTTTACTTTCAAGTGTCTCCGATTAGATAAGTGATAAGATATATCCTAATGTTAAAGGTTAGAACCACTTGTGTTAAAATCTAAAATAGTATATAATTCTCATTAACTCTGCCAACATTCAGTGTTTTACTAAAAATCTTATCTGGTTATTTAGGACTTCTATTGCTGCCCACCTCCAAAGTAGAGTAAGTATAAGTTGTAGAAAAGGAGGAAATATAGTTTGTGTTTTTTTCTAGAAAATATTGTAATCTACATGGAAAACTCTAGAATGAATGTTCAAACTAGTATTGAAGTATATATATGAAGATCTGAATAAAGGGGAAAATACACTATTTAGTGAATGGGAATGTCTAGGAGAGGTATGGAAATCTTCCTTAAAGTTTACTTTCGATGTAGTTCTAATTCAAATCAAATGATTTTTACAGAACTTGATAGATTGACTCTAAAATGAGTGCTGAAGTTTATCAATCTAGCCAAATTGCCAGATTACTTCTGAGAAAAAGATACAAAGATATGAAGACTTCCCTTACCTAATTTATCAGTGCTAAATATAAAATTGTACTAATTGAGTATATTGGTGTCACAGAGTATAAAAATAAGTGATTGGGCCTGATGGAGAGTTTAGGAGGTGATCTGTTATATTATTAATTTGACATATGAGAGGAAGATTCCAACTCCAGGGGGAAAATGGCAATAGACACTGGACTTCTAAATCAAAGAACAGACAAACAAAGCCCTTGCCTCCTAACAGCAACACAATATTCTAGATGAGTGAAACCAAGTGAAAATAAAAAAATTACTTACAAGAAGGTAGGATTTTTGTGACCTCAGAGTAATGTGTTACATGAATTGGACATAAGGAATGAGTGATGATAAAAGTTTGATTACATTTAATTAAAAAATTTCTGACAATTGAAATGGAGGTGGTGGACTGGAATAAGAAAATACAATAGAGATAGAATTAATATCCAAAATATATATTTTTTAATTATCGGTACCGGGGATCGAACTCACGACCGCCTGCTTGCAAGCCAGGTGCTTATGCTGCTGAGCTAAATCCCCAGCCCCTCATATCCAAAACATTTTTTAAAAAGCCCTTACAAATCAGTACAAAAGTTTTAAAAACCTATCTAACAAAAAATGATAAAAATATGTAACTGGTGATTCACCCATGGGAAACCTAGAAAAGGTCAGTAAATCAATGAAAAAGCATTTGACTTTACTGGTAAATAGGTCACTCTTTAATGATATTAATAATAATAGTAATAATAATGATAGGAGATAGATTAATCAAGCTGTTTAAAACAAAAAAACTGACCTTGAGTGCATCTGGAGTTACAGAGAAACAGAAATTCTCCTACTCTATTGGTTGGTCTTTTTAGGCTAGCCAGTAGGTAGAGCAATTTGTCATAGCCTAGTAAAATACAGAATTTAGTTTCTGTGTTAATTGCCAAATTATCTGATGTACCTAAATGATCATATATAAGCACTAAGACATGTCAGGTGATTATAATAATATGTACTAGAAATAATGTAAAATCCCACCAAAAGATACGCAATAATAAAATGTATTCCTAGAAAATATATTATAACATTTATAAAATTGGCTTAAAACCGTTAATGTCAAATCTTAAAATTGCAGGAAATGATCATGTTTTCATAGTATAAAATAATTTATATAAAATAGAAATAGACACACATGGTACGCTGTGATTGAGTACACATATATGCACACATATACATACACACAAAAATGAAAAGCTATTCAGAAATGGAAAGGCACTAAATTCATGATTGTAGTTACACATGGGGAGGGAAATGGCAGAAGGGATTTGGAGTATAAATGAACTTTTACTTTATCTGAGATGTTTATTTCTTCTACTTAAAAGTACTTGAAGCAGAAACAAGATCACTTTATCTGAGATGTTTATTTCTTCTACTTAAAAGTACTTGAAGCAGAAACAAGATCTTAAGGATGTTTTCCTCGCTACTTCTATTCAGCAAGAAACTAAGGTTCTAACTAGACCATTAGGCAAGGAAAACAATGTATCTGGATTGTTAGGAAAGAATGAAAACCTCTCTGTTGACAGACAATATGACCTTACATATAAAAAATTCTAAGAAACTAAAAAGCTACTAGAAGCAAGAAAATTCATCAGGGTTTCAGATACAAAGTCAGCTTATAAAAAAATCAATTGATTTCTCTGCACTAGTAATAATATGAAGGAAATTGATAAAATTTCTATTCACAATATTGTTAATAAATATTTAGGAAAAAATACAATAAAAGAAATGCAAGACATACCTTAGAAACCACAAAACGTTAAGCAAAAGTCAAAACTAAGTAAGTGAAAAGATATTTTGTGTTCATGGGGTAAGATTAAATATTATTAAAAAGGTAATACTCCCCAAGTTGATCTATAGATTTAGTGGTTTTCTTCCCTTAGAAATTAAAAGTTGATTTTAAAATTCATGTGGAGACAAAAGACCCATTACAGTGAAAATAATTTTGAAAAAAAAAACGATACGGAGAATTTAACGTTTTCTTGTTTAAAAACTGCTGCAGAACTATGGTAATCGCCATACTGGTACTTATAGGAATAGATATAGGTATCAAGCAATATGTTATAATCCAAAATAAGCTCTTACATTTATGTGAGTTCATTTTCAACAGAGTTTTGAAACAGTTCAGTAGGGGAAAAGTGATCTTCAACAACTGGTGCTCACGCAACTGTATATCCACTTGCAAAAGAATAAATTTTGATCCCTACACAAAAATTAAGTCAAAATTGATCATTAACTTAAATATAAGCTAAAAGTATAAAAACCTTAGCAAAAAACAACAGGAAAATCTCCATGATCTTACATTTGGCACTAATTTCTTAGAGACAATACCAAAAGTACAAGCAACAACATCCAAAATTGTTAAGTACCTTTATCACATTTGGAAGTTGTATACTTCCAAAGGTGTGACTAAGAAAGTAAAAAGAAAACCCAAAACTTGGGAACATATATGCAAATCATGCGTCTGGTAAGGGACTTGTTACCAGCATACATAAACACTTCTTATAGATCAGTAATACAAAGACATACCAAAAAAATGAGCAAAAGTTTTGAGTAGAAATCTTCCTGGAATGATAAGTGAATGGCTAATAAATATGTGAAAAGATAGATGCTCAATATCATCAGTAAGGAAATATAAATCACAAAACCACAATAGTTGCTACTTCATACTCACTAGAATTGCTATAATAAAGACAATAACAAGTATTGGTGAGGCTGTCAGAGAAATTGGAACTCTTATTATATGGTAGGAATATAAAATGTTGCAGTTACTTTGGAAAAATAGCAATTTCTCAAAATGTTAAAGCAGAATTGTTGTAGAACCCAGTAATCAATATCTACATATAGATGTGTACACAAATGTTCATATACCATTATTCAAAAATAACCTAGAAATGAAAGCAACTTTAAGTGTGCATCAACTGATGAATGAATATGTTTAGCTTAAATATAAGCTAAAACTATAAAAACCTTAGGAAAAAGAACAGGAAAATCTCCATGATCTTATGTTTGGCACTAATTTCTTACAAACAATACCAAAAGTACAAGTAACAATATCCAAAATTATTAAGTAGCCTTACAACCATATAATATTATTTGGCAATAAAAAGAAACAATACTGATACATTTTGCAACATAGGTGAGCTTCAAAAAAAAATGCTGAAAGCAGCCAGACATAAAATACTGTACTTTATATGATTATCAAGAGTAGGCAAGTTGATCAAGGTAGAAAGTGAGATTAGTGTTTGCCTGAGTGTGGGGGCTGTGACTGAATGGGAACAAAGTTCCTTTTTGGAGTGATGGAAACATTCTAAAATTAGGTTGTGGTGATGCATGCACAGCTTTGTAAGTATACTGAAAACCAAGTGTACACTTAAAATGGATGAATTTTGTGTTATGTAAATTATATCTCAATAAAGTTGTTCAAAAAACTACTTGAAGCAAATATGAAATATAAAGGTCTCAATTCTCACTGGTTGGAATGAAGGTTTTCATTATAGATTCTAATTTCTCTATTTTTAATACTTATTTAGAACAAAACTCAGATGTCATAAATTTCTGGGCCCTAGTTTCAAACTAGATAAATGTCTAAACTTAGTCCTAATTAGATTCTGAGCTTCAGATACTGACAGGTATCTCTATCCCCAAAGGAAATGACTAGATCCTTAATAAAGTACTCCCTGTGAAGCTTATTATTATGCATAGCAAATCCAACTCTTTAGGTCCTAGTTCTTAAAAGCGAATCAAGCATAACTATAATTAATACTCCTAGAGAGGGAAGAGAAAAACAACCATGGAAAACATTTTTACAATCCTCAATAAAAGGAATATTCAGAGAACAATAATTGCTGAAAATTAAAAATAATTGCTAAGAGGCTTGGCAAATAACAGAAAAAAAAATGCTAGAAAATAAGAGAAAAATATATTTCAAAGACCAGTCAAAAGGTTTGAATATTTATGTATGAGAGAGAGCAAAGCCATTTAAAAATATAAACCAATTTCACAGCAAGGAAGACATTGGCTTCTATAATGGAAGGCACAATAGTTGACAAGACAAATTTACCAGTTATATCTTAATGAAATCTTTCAAAGTGAGCATCAAAGTAATACCCTAAAAGTGTCCAGAGAATTAAAACAGATGGTCTAAGAAAGATCAGAAAACAGATTGGTTTTGGATTTTGAGAAGATAGAATTCAATAAAGGAGTATCTACAATTCTGAAAGAAAAAGATGATTTTGAGAGTAGAAAAGGACATTTTCAGATGGGCAAAGTCTGCTAAACAGTTATGATATTTGTAACCACTCGATAACTTTAAAATTTCCTTTTTATATCTGAGAATACTTCATATTATGATGCCTACTGTGCTAAAGTTGAAGCCACAACTCAAGTTTTCCAGCATCTATTACTAAAAGGCATAGGTATGTCCTAAATATAGATTATGACCCAGGAGGCTCTTCTAATCAGACATTTCCATGAAAAACTTCAGCTGAAGAGATTCAAGGGTGTAGATTTTGCAAAGGATCTGCCTTGAAAGAGGGTGGTAGGAGACCGACCTTTCCGGGGTAGGAGTGGCAGAGATTCTGGTAGAATATGCCTTTGGTGAGAAGGCACCTCCATGTATTTGGTTAGCTAAGTTGGCTATAGCTACTGACTGAACAGTCTTCAAACCCTGTTCTTTGGTCCTTTTGGAGATTCTGCGAGTTCCTTAATCTTCTAATGAAGCTTTTAAAGGTACTCCAACACAAATGAGTAAACAGGAAAGAGACTGAGATGGAGGGGCCTAAGTGATCTAACAAAATAGGGAAAAGTAATACTCTGGATTATGATATAAGTATGCCGGCATGTGGGCTGTGCAACCACTCCAAATTCGACCAAGCTCCAGGAAAAGCGTTTCTGAGATGGGAAACCTGCTTTAGTATTTGGTGTGTTTTATGCATTTAGAAGATTTAAATTTCTGGGAATGAATTAATATATAAAACAAAACCAATGGAGGGCTGGGGGTTTAGCTCAGGGGCGTAAGCGCCTACCCTGAAGCGCGAGGTCATGAGTTCAATTTCCAGTACCAAAGAAAATCCCAACCAACCAAACAAAAGCATCCCCCCCCCAGGAAAAAAACAAAACAAAGCAACAATGAAAGAAAAACAATTCTCAGCTACAGGTTAAATATTTATACATGAGTGATAATGTAATCACAGTACAAGAACCAGTAGTGACTAATTCTACATGGTAAAAACTCAGGCATTTAATTTAACTAAAAAGTTTGATGTAGTTGTATTAAAAACAGAGAAAGGTAGTCTATATTACTGAGGTAGGAGAAGGAAATCTATATAGTTTGAGTGGTCATAGTTTCTAAAATTGAAAAGTAAAAATGAACCAAACAGGAGAATCCATTAGAATGCATGGTGGTTGAATGTGAGGAATAGGAAGGGGAAATACATTGGTCAGGGTTCTTTTAGTTACATATTATAGAATTCACTCTATTTAGTTTAAGCCAAGAGAACTGTTATTTAAATATTGAGTAGTTTACAGAATCTCTGGGAAGTCAAATAACTAGACTTACATGTTACTCAAGAATTGTATTTATAGTTTATTGACCATTCAAAGAAGGATATATTAGTAATTACATCATCAACTATGTATTCTTATGGAAGATATCTGGCTCCAGTCTTACTGCTACTAGATACCACTATTATTTCCTTAGTATCCATCCAACAGATGAAAGTAAATAGAGGTGACTCAAGTGAGGTAAATAATTCCATGCTCAATTTATTATGTCATAATAAATTGTGAACCATAATATGGTGCTTAAGTTTCTGAATTTAAAGGCCAAATTCTAACTTCAAGGTTTATGTTATTTATACTTGATGCTTCTTCCTGCCATGAATCAATTCTGTAACTACACATCTTCTGGATCTTCCTAAATAGTTGGTCTAGGCAAAATTTTGGCATTTGTAGGCAAAAAGAGCACAGCAAAATCAATTCTTTTACCTTTTCTGTGCTATGAAACTTATAAAGAAATGAATATTAAAGCTTGTGGGGGCAGAGTCAGACAGATGTCTGGGAGAAAGAAGCAAACACATCTCATGGAAGAGATTTATTATCTTAGGTAAGTGCCCAGAGGTGGTTAAAGTCAAACACATTCTGGAGATCTCCCATCTCAACAATTTGTATTAAGTACCAAGTAAATGGTTCAGGCAAATAGTGGTGCCCATAGTACAGAGAACAGAAAACAAGATCCTCACTGAAGTCTAGGACTGGTAGAGAAAGATTCCTTACATAGCAAAGCCCCACGCTGGTCTGGAAGGCAGGGTTTATACATTTTTTAACTTTTTTTTTAACTTTTAACTTTTTATCGGTACCGGGGATCTAACTCATGACCCTCTATTTGCAAGGCAGGTGCTTATGCTGCTGAGCTAAATCCCCAGCCCCTAGGGTTTCTAATTTAAAAGGAGGATGGAGAAGAAGTTACAGAAGGAAAGAAGGAAGCATGGAAGGAAGGAAGGAAGACAGAGTCTGTGAGTGGACTATTTGAATACAGCCAAGAGTTTGTATAAGGAAGTATCAAGAGACACATTTGGGAAAACAAAAAGCAATAAAGATACGAATCAGCAATCAGTCACCAGTCGTTTTTTTACTACTTTCCAAAGCCTCACTAAGTAACAGTAACAGGATTTGTGTTTTAAGAAATAAGCATGCCAAGATAAAAAGTGGTAACAGAGACAAGGTAGTGGCAAAACTTGTAAGCTGGAAAGCATATGGAGAAGCATAAACTGGTTTATCAGACCCTGATGTGATTTATCACATCCTGGATGGGCAGGAACAAAAGCCAAGAAGCAACGCAATTTTGTCTAGGATGTCATGGCACTGGGGACCTCTGGAAGTGGCTGTTTAAATGAGAATGATTTGTTGAAAGCCTGTCTAAGAAACATGGAATCCCAAGTCACCACTCTTCCTCAGAAAGCCAGTTAAATTGCCACTCTCAGACCCTGGCAAAAGATTGAGCTTAATTTTCTACAGCGAATGGGAAGGTGGTTTCTGGAGTGGAAATTTCCAGGACTATTGAGTGTAATCATCATGGGGAAAGCACATTAAGCAAACTTTACAATTTGGATAATGGAACTGTTAGGCCCTCTCCCTTTTCATTTTGGTGGGGAATCAAGACCTGTTGCTTCTAGGAGAAAAGCTAAATTGCTTGGCTGTGAGATACTAGCATTGGGCTTTACTTGGAAATCAGTCAAACTACCATGCAGAGAAACATCCTCAAACCCAGCCATGTACCTTCAGCTTCTAATAAACTTTTGTGAACTGTACTTCTATATATGAACTATACTACATGGGCTAAGAACCATGGAATGTTTGAGAATATAACATTTGAGTCTTAAACATGACAGATTGAGACTGGTAGGAGAAGGGATTTCAATAAAACAGACCATATAGAAAAAAAGAAACTCCCCAAAGCATTGGTACTTTAATATTTTTCAGAGGAACAAAAGAGGAAATACACCCACAGAATAAAAAATAAGAAAAAGAAAGTGAATTTACATATATACCAAAACAAATGAAAAAGCCAAAACTCAACAAACAAAAATTAAGGGCACAGAAATGACTCAGTGGAAATTTAAAATTTTACAAAAGAAATGAAAAAGACAAAAGGAGTTTTGCAAGATAAAGATGGAGAAATTTTTTCAAAAGATGGGAAGTTGACAGGAAGATGAAAATTAGAAACCTGTGAGCTGTCCAATATCCAATTAAAAGTTATATACAAAGGAAAAAGAGTACTGCTATACCAAAGAAGTAGCTCAAAATTTTGCATCAAAGAGCCTGGTTTTTAGATTAATGAAATTTAAAAACATGGCACAAAGAACAGTTTACCTGTAAAGAACTAGGAAACAGATTTGTGCCCTCCTTAAATCTATTCTCATGCCAATATACATAAAACAATTTTAGATGCCAATAAAGTTACTAAAAAAACAGAATTAAGCATGCAAAAAAGGGAAAAAATTTAATGTTGATAAGCTTCTATACAGAGAGGTATATTCAGAAACTTAAAAAACTGAAATACGTCAGGGCTGAGAATATATAATTCAGTGGCATGACACCTGTCTGGCAAGCACGAAGTCCTGAGTTTGATTGCTGGTTCAAAAATATTTTTATATGTGTCAATATATATGTGTACGTGTCAAAACATATTAAGTGAATTTAAAGATCTATAAAGAAGTGGCAAGTTGGTGAAAACTATTAACACATTGACATTAATATATAAACTGTTCATATAGGGAATATAGAAAATAGTCAGAATAGATGACAAAACACACTAGGACCATAGTAGAGAAAAATGAACAAAGTATATAAATGAATGAAATAAAATCCAAAAGGCTAATATTCATGAAAAATAATAACCTTAGTTATAATTCAATAAATGTAAATTACAACTTCAGTTACACTTTTTCACTCATCAAGTGAGTAAAAGGTTTTCTTTTTCCAAAATAAGATAGCTCAGGCATGTGTATTGATGCATGCCCATAATTCCAGCAGTCTGAGAGGCTAAGGTAGGATCACAACTCAAGCCCAGCCTTGGCAACTTAGCTATCCATAAAGACCTTGTCCCAGATAAAACATAAAAAAAAAAAAGCTCTGTGTGTGTGTGTGTGTGTGTGTGTGTGTTGGGGATTTAGCTCAGTGGCTTAAGTGCTTGGCTGGTGAGCGCAAGGTCGTGAGTTCAATCCCCAGGTACCAAAAGGAGTGGGGGGCTGGGAGTGTAGCTCAGTGTGAGGTCCCTGTGTTTAATCCAAAGTATTGCAAATAAAACAGAACAAGTTTTCTCAATATTGAGTATGTAAAAATGATAGATTCTTGTAGGAAAGTTTTAGAGATACTAAAATAGTCATTAAAAAGTCTATAACTATGTACACTAAGGCATTTCATTCATTCAGCATTTCATTCAATCAGTATTTTACTGGATATACTGTTTTATGTACTGAAATACGGGGTCAATATTTAAGTATTAAGTGATTAGTCATAATGGTGGAAAAATAAAAATTAAGTAATTAATAATAAGGAAATCACTGGTCTCCATAAAATAGAATTTTTTTAGCTATTGAAAATTGTGATTTATAATTTATAATCACAATTATGATTTATAAATATAATTATGATTTATAATTATAATTTTCAGAGAAGGATAAATATACTTATTTTTCTAGTGCTGAGGACTGAACCCAAGACTGTTGCACTGAGCTACATCCCCAGGCCTTTTAAATTTTTTTTGAGGCAGGGCCACATTAAGTCACTAAGTTACCCAGCTTGGGTGCAAATTTGAGATCCTCTTTGTTCAGGTTCCCAGAATAATGGGATTGATTACAGGTATGCACCACCACAGCCAGCTCAGACTTTCTAATTTGAAAAAAAATTTTTAAATGTAGCATTTAGATATTGATGAAGAAACAATGACTAATGTCTGAGGCATTTTGCCAACGATCCATTTGAAGTAATAGATTTGAAATATACTGTATATGCAACTTGAAAGACAAAGGCACTTTCTTCTCATGCTACATTTTGAGTATTGGTTGCAGTGAAGGGGCCATTAAATTCACCCAACTCCATTTCTCACTTTTTCCAGTTTCACACACACACACACACACACACACACACACACACACACACACACACAGACACAGACACAGAAAAAGCAGGGACATTCAAGAGGCAGGATTTTTAAAAGATATGGAAGAAATGCAGTACTCTAGTTTCAAGAAATCCTTCAAATTTAGGGACCAGTTGTTTTTAATTATCACTTTGATAGGAAGAAAATACTTTCTTCAGCTGTCAGAACTGTCAAGTTTCCTTAGATGAATTCTTGTTACTGTGGTCACTGTGGATAAGGATCTGCAGTGACAGCAGTTATTTTCTACTAGTAGCTTGTGGTTCCACTTGATAGACACAACATGACAGTCTTACAGTAACCAATTGAAACTTGCAGAGAGAAGTGACATGTTTGGCTGGAATACTAAATGCTGTCACTACTTGGAAGATTCTGAGCAGTTTTGTTGTGAGCAGAGTTACACTTATAAAACCAGATTGCTTCCTTTTGATGAACATCTGAAGACTAAATAAGGGATGTTGCTTCATTCTTAGAGTCTTACAAATATAAGAAGGAAATAAAATAGTCTATAAACAAATAGTGCTGAACTCAAAGCTCATTTTAATTGTATATTGAATATAAAATGGCCTTATGTGATAGTAATAGTATTGTATTCTTTCTTTCTTTTTTTAATTTTTATTTTGAAAGTATACAACAGAACAAGTCAGAATAAAGCCAACTAACATCCTACAGTGAAATTGGTACAGAACTTCAAGCAGGTTACTGGGATAACGGTAATAGGTATCACAGTATATTTTGTTATCTTTATAATAGTTGTTCTTTCAATCCCGTGTATCAAAATGAGATGAAATATAGAACACTATAGAACTTATCAAAATAGAATATTGAATAGAGCAGTACCATTAATCAGAAAAGAGCAAAATAGTAATAAAAATATTTGCCTTCAAAGAAATGGTAGAAGGAAGTCCCCCTTATTTGCTATGGTCAACCTCCCAGGAGATGCTCAGATTCCTGGTTCCCACTTGCTAATGGTCAGGGAGGGGGAGGAGGAGGAGGATAGGGGAGGTGGGGTATTTGACTCTAGGCCATGTAGCAGTAGGTTCACTATTGCTAAGCAGGGAGGCAGAATGGTCATTTGTTTTCACAGTGTCCTCAGTTCCAACATGGCGTGGATCTCAGGAGACACTGCTGGTTCTCCCCCTGGAAGAGCTGCAGTCTGCCAGCCTGCCTCCGCTTACCAGGGAGGGGAGGTGCTTGCTTGGCTTCCCAGAGTCCTAAGTTCCAACATGGCGTGGATCTCAGGAGACACTGCTGGTTCTTCCCCTGGAAGGGCTGCAGTCTGCCACCCTGCCTCCGCTTACCAGGGAGGGGAGGTGCTTGCTTGGCTTCCCAGAGTCCTAAGTTCCAACATGGCGTGGATCTCAGGAGACACTGCTAGTTCTCCCCCTGGAAGGGCTGCAGTCTGCCATCCTGCCTCTGCTTACCAGGGAGGGGAGGTGCTGGCTTGGCTTCCCAGAGTCCTAAGTTCCAATGTGGCGTGGATCTCCAGTATTGTATTATTTCTTAGGGGAAAGATCCTTAACATAGTATTTGAGTTTCTGATATTTAACACTCCTAAATTTTCTCTTTTCAGTTTTAAGGGCAAACTTTAGATGAAGAAGAATGAAATAGTGATTATGTATTCCAGAATGTTTGATTAAGTATTCCTAAAAATTGTTATGAATTAATTATATAATAATTTTTAAGATTAAAAAATTAGGGTGATGGGGAGACTAAATGTTATACGTGTAGTCTTGGCATTGTGGATCCTCCAGCCTAGCTTGCCTGGGGATGGCTGTAAGTGGGTGAAGCAGGGAAACTTTATTCCTTGGTTTTTTGTATAGTGAGGGTAAAGAGTACAGAAGAAACCTTCTTGAAGTATAATGACTTTGGGGTCTCATAATAGACTATCATGAGTTCCTCTGTCACTGAGAGAGGGATGTAGTTGTCAGTAGCGACTAGGCTAACTATCATCAACATAAAGACATCTAAGACGAAAAGTTGACTTCTGGAGAAAAATAATCAGTTTGTGCTTAGCAGGTTGACTTTCAGGGGCTCACTGGACCATTCAGGATGGAGAAATGAAGCAGAAGTACAGGAAGCCTTAAGCATTAGAGAAAGCCATGATAACACATAGGGCCATAATAGCAGTTGCCAGGAACATAATTAGGATACTTAATGGGAAAAAAGAAAGTTAAGAGGGATGAGAACTGAGCTTTGGAAAAGTCTGCATTTATATGATGGGAAGTGGATGTGGAACTAGGGAGAAAGGGAAGAGGAGTATTAGTGCCCTGTGGGTCAGAGAGGGGAGATGTCTCAGGAGCAAGGATATGAAAGATAAAGGGCACAGCATTTGGGTGGCAATTTGATGATGTACTGGGAACAGTGTGGGTAGTATGATGGAGCCAGATTCAGAGAGGGAGAGAGAAAGATAAAGCAACAGGTTCATGAATGTAAACTTTATCTCCCTAAGAAGGTGAAAGTAGAAAAAGAACAGAAGTTTAAGTCAGACTTAATAAGTCAGGATCGATGACTGATGATTTCATGAAGAGAAAGATCACCATAATTACATAATTGACCGTAGTGCTGGCATATGTGGAAAATACTCATATTAGGGACTTCCAGGAGAGAGACCAGCCCTGGAAAGAAATGTCTTTCCTGTCTTTCACAGAAAGCAGGAAGAAAGATGGGGTGAGGCTAAGGAGAGAAGGCAGTGTCTTCCAGATAGCCTCACTTAATTATTTCTCTAGTAAAAGTTTTTGAGTGCCTACAGTATGTAAGGTATTGAGATCTTCTGGAAAACACATGGATGGACAAGGCAGATCATGCCTGTATGGAGGATAAGATAGGTACAGACATAACTCAAGACTGAGAAAACAGACCATTGAATTAAATATAAATTTTCTTCCTCTTTGATTTCATCCTCCATAAAATAGAACACTGACAATACCAACTTAGTGGAATACTTGAGAAGCTTGAGTAGGAATGTATATAGAAAGTACCTAGTAAAGGACAACAAAATCAAAGACTAACTAAAGGTGCCATTGCTGTATACAGCATAGAAGCGGTAAGTGCCAAAAGAGAACTATAGGAGATGAAAAAGAGACGGTGTTTTGATAAAGTGGTAAGGGAAGAGAAGAGCCAAGTTACCTATTTAGGGAAGCAAAGAACTTTGGAGACTGAGAAGGAAGGAATATTATGGTAGAGCAAATGTGGGGACAAGGAAACAGTTTGAAGTTTAATACCATAAAGTCAAAATTCATGAAGGTTTCAAGAAATAAATTTTTAAAAGAGAACTAAATACACACCTAATTTAAAACTCTGTTTTAAGTATCCTATTCTTTTTGTAACTTGTATTTCTTAGAGTCCCAACAGCATTATTTGACCTAATGCAGAAATTCAACACAGAAAATCAGGTATTTTTTCCCTCTCCTTTACCACCCTCATGTTCTCATTTTATCTTTCATCCAGGAGAGTTTTAATGGCCCATACTTGTAATCATTCTGTTGGTCTTCATCAAAGTTAACAGCACCTACGTTCCTCTCTTTGTGCATCATACTTGCCTGGGAAAATTCTGGCTCTAGACTGAACATTTACTTTTTGTTTGCTTCATATCTTTTAGATTGCCCCTTTCAATGAGAAAAATTGTATCTTGGTGGACGTGTCTGCATGGGAAATGCTCCAAAATCATACAACATCAGTTAAGAAATGCCTGATCCCTATTCTTTGTACCTTATTCACTATCCCTTCTTCTCTTCAAATTCTATTTTCTGAATATTTAAAATGAATATTTAGTTCATTCATTTTCAATCACTCATCTTTGTCCTTTTAATACACTAAAATGTGTCTCTTTGTCTTTAATGGTTTTTGCCAAAATTATATTTTTAAACTAACATACAAAAGCCTGTGAATATAACCATAACTCAATGAATTATCACCAGAAGCTACGCAGATGCGCATGTAAGCAGCTCCCACATTCAGAGATCATCTTTACTCTAGAGATCTCCATTCCTCCAGGTGCTTCCATACTACAACCTCTTTTTTCCAAAAATGACCTCTACTTGGACTTTGAGGATTTTTTTTTAACGAAAGTATGCAAATGTCACTGTGGAGTCTATTTGGACTTTGAACATAGATTACTTTGTCTCTTTTTGATCTTCATATGAATAGGATTGTGCAATAGGTATTATGTTGAACAAAATTGTTCATATGTTGAACAATTGTTCATATGTTGAATTGTTCATTATGTTGAACATAATTGTTCAACGATTTTGTTCAACATCTTTATAAAATTTATTCCTATATTTTTTGTAGCTTTTGTTTAACTTCATTGATATACACTATTCCATTGTATAAATATATAATACTCTACTGGACTTAACATTTGTAACGTTATTGACCTCTTGTTGACCACTTGGTTTGTTTACAGTATTTGGTTGATAAAACTAATGCTTAAAGCATTCTTAGATGTAACTTTCAATGCACAGCCTTACACATTTCCTGGGCAGATAGAAGAATTGAATCATAGCACACACAAACATTCAAGTTTAGAAGATACTGTCCAAATACTTTCCAGAGTGATTTGTAGTGCTTCACATTCCTTCTTGTAAGACATGAGAATACCTAGTGTTTTGTTCCACATCCACGTCATCACTTGTATTTGCAATCTTTTTTTATTTAGACCAAAAATGCAAAACAGAAAAAAGAGTAGAATTAAATAAAAGAAATCATTACTTGATAAATTACATATTGTTATCTTAGAAGTAATTGCTCAAGTCACAAAATCAAAGCATAAAAGGTAATCAAACATGACAGTACAAACCATTCTGTTGGATGAACTAACAAAAACAATAGTATGATTTGTCTTGCATACTTAAACATATATACATTAATATCCCTTAGAGCATTTTCTTCCCCTTTAATTATCACAATATCTATTACACATTTTCAATCTTATTACTCTTTTGGTTTTTATTATTATGTTTATACCAGAGAGAAAATACGATATTTACAAATGTGAGTCTGATTTACTTCACTTATGAGGATATCCTCAAGTTGCCTCCATTTGGTAAATGTTGGCAAGCAGGTTATAGGTTATAAAAGCCTCAATATCATGTTTTTATAGCTAATATTTCATTGTATAAAAATACCACATCTTTTCATCCATTCTGCGGTTGATGGGAATTTTGGCTGTTTCCAAGATTTAGCTATTACAAATTGTGTTCCTATAAACATGGGTACACATATATTGCTGTGACATGACCTTTTGAATTTTTCTGGGAAAACACCCATCAGGGCAATAGCTGGATTGAATGGAACTTCCAATCCTAGTTTTTTGAGGAATTTCTACACTGATTTCCACAGTGGCTGCGTCAGTCTACACTCCCACCAACAGTGGAGAAGTGTTCCTTTTTTTCCACAGCCTCACCACCAATTGTCATTGGTTGATTTCTTGATGGTAGCCATTCTTTCTAGAGTGAGATGAAATATTAATGCTGTTTTAATTTGCATTTCTTGAATGACCAGTGATAGTGAATATTTCTTCATGTATTTATTTGCCATTTGTATATCTTCATATGAGAAATGTGTGTTCATCTCAGATGCTCATTTTTAGAGAAGGTCTTTGAATTTGGGGGGCTCGATGTTTTTCAATTTCTATGTTCTGGATATTTATCTTTGTCTGAGGGATTGCTGGCTAAAATTCTTTCCCATTCTGTCGGTTTTCATTTACTTTGTTGGTGATTTCTTTTGAAGTGCAAAAACTTTTTAATGAGGTGAGATCCTAGTTGTTGTATTTGCAATCTTGTAAAAATTTTAGCTTTTCATTTAAATGAGAGTATCTCATTATAGTGTTTAATTTATAGTCTCCCAATAATTCTTCCAAACATTAATTTTCAGTCTTTCTACATTCTTTCAGATTTTGTTTTAGATACTTTCATGAGGACACACTGTGCTGTATTTGAGTCATCCACCCAGGTTTGGGTAATTCATTAGAACTCAAGAGGGAGAGCCCAGTTCCAACTGAGGAGAAAAGTTTCAGACTGAGTGACCATCATTGTCTGGGTAGAGCTGCTGCCTGGATAGTATTCATCAATCAAAAAGCCTAAGAAGATTATTATTTCATTTGCAAAAAGTTGGCTAGTAGATCTTGTTGCTTCATACCTGCAGCAACTCAGCAATTGAAAAGTAGCATTTTTCTGCGTCCTCAACTATCTAGAATATATCTAAACACTAGGAGCTTGCTTTCTATTAAATTGGAACTATGAAATCTAAGAACAGATGTGCTCAGAATCCAAGTTGTAGCATAATGATATTTCATCCAACCAAAGAAGAGTTTAATGATTTTGATAAATACATTGCCTACATGGAATCCCAGGGTGCTCACAGAGCTGGCCTAGCCAAGGTCATTCCTCCCAAGGAATGGAGAGCCAGAGAGTCCTATGACAATATCAGTGACCTCTTAATAGCCACTCCTCTGCAGCAGGTGGTCTCTGGGCAGGCAGGTGTGTTCACTCAATACCATAAAAGAAAGAAACCCATGACAGTGGGAGAGTACAAACATCTAGCAAACAGTAAAAAGTATCAGGCTCCTCCACACCGGAATTTTCAAGAGTTGGAGAGAAAGTACTGGAAGAATCGCCTCTATGATTCCCCAATTTATGGTGCTGACATCAGCGGCTCCTTGTTTGATGAAAACACAAAGCAGTGGAACCTTGGTTGCCTGGGAACCATTCAGGATCTTTTGGAGCAGGAGTGCGGAGTTGTCATTCAGGGTGTCAACACACCCTACCTGTACTTTGGAATGTGGAAGACCACATTTGCATGGCACACAGAGGACATGGACCTCTACAGCATCAACTACTTGCACTTTGGGGAGCCCAAAACGTGGTATGCGGTGCCCCCAGAGCATGGCAAACGCCTGGAGAGGCTGGCCAGGGAGCTTTTCCCAGGCAGCTCTCGGGTCTGTGGAGCATTCCTGAGGCACAAGGTGGCTCTCATCTCACCCACAGTGCTCAGGAACAATGGGATACCCTTCAGCTGCATGACTCAGGAGGCTGGGGAGTTCATGGTGACGTTTCCCTATGGCTATCACGCTGGCTTCAACCATGGCTTCAACTGTGCAGAGGCCATCAATTTTGCCACCCCTCGGTGGATTGATTATGGTAAAGTGGCTTCTCAGTGCAGCTGTGGAGAGGCCAGAGTCAGCTTTTCCATGGATGCATTTGTGCGCATCCTGCAACCTGAGCGCTATGAGTTATGGAAACGGGGACAAGATCGAGCAGTAGTGGACCACAGGGAACTCACGGCTCCCCAGAAGCAGGATCTAACTCCCTGGAAGGATGTCCATACAGCCAAGAGAGCTTCACTGGGCCTGAGACACTTCAGGCTTCGTCAGGCTCAGCAATCCCCTCTGCCTGTGGCTTCCCTCAAGGAGACCTGCTGCAGCAGGAATGTGCGTCGGTGTTGTGCACTTGGGCAACCATCTGCCAGTGGTGCTGCTGCCCGGTCTAGGGCCACAGCCCACAGCTCCCAGGAGTTCAGCCCAGCCCCACAGCCCTCCCAAAGTCCATCTGCCCGGGATATCCACGTATTAGCTGGCAGACTTCGCCGTGGCCGACCTCCCCGGGAACGAGTTCAGGAGCCAGGCCACCAAGCTCTAGCCAAGAGGCGCAGGTCAGTAGCCACAGAGCGCGTAACTCTGGATTCAGACCTTCAGTTCCAATCTGGGCATGGAGCTTCGATGGTCAAACCTGAACCTAAGAGCCCTGGGGTACATCTTGCTACAGCTTCCAAATGTAGCTTGACCTCTGACCCCTAAACTCAGGGATTGTCTTTATAGCCCACTGCTCTGCAGTCTGGAAGCTTGTGAAGACATGTCCTATGTAACTCACTGAATTGCACTTTGCAGGACATTGATAATGCATCATCTCTAATGATGCCTCCAGATGCTGGTGATTCGACGGTAGTTATTAAATCCCTTTGCTATATTTGTCCTTCTTTACAGACCTTGGGATGTTTTTCAACTCTGGTAAGATTGCATCTTAGCTGTGGTTTCATCCATTTGACAGGCTATGTCTCAGAACTAGCTTCCACTAAGATTAATGGAACCTGAACTTTGCCGGTCTCCCATCCTCTGGACCAGCTGTGGAGGGTGCTATACTTCCAAGGCTTGGGTTCTTCTTTGCTTTCCCTCCTTTTCCCCCCTCACCTTTAGCTATTTCTTGCAAACTAAGGCACTTTTGATCCATTAGTTTAATAGAGACACAGAAAGATATGACCTTTGTAAGTTATTGATGTATTTAAAATGTGTTGCTACCAAGTATTTGTTCACAAATATATTAAAAATAGCGATTAAAATGTTAAGATTTGACTTAATTTATATTTCAGTTTCAAATAGTAAGGTAGGGGCAGATGTTATTCTTCTGTATATTTTCTTAATTGTTTCAAAAACACTTAAAGCAAATTTGTTTTTGTGAACTGTTTACATTGTTTGACAGAATGAATATGTTTGAGGGATGCACATTGGATTCTGGGTGTATCATTGGTTTGGGCAACCGTCTGCCAGAGGTGCTGTTGTCCAGTCTAGGGCCATAGCTTGGGACTTGGAATATTTGAGTTTTCCAACTTTGTTTTGAGGAACATGGAGGATCCACCCAGCTGGGCAGTAGGAACTAAGTTGCAGGGATAAAAAAGCAAGTATAGAAAAAAAGTGTCATCACTTCTCTTCAAAGATATATTTTACATTCATTCACTCATTTATTTGTTTATTGGGCTTAGGCTCAGTAAATAAGCCTACACATTAATGAACAAGAACATCAATGATGAACAAGTACATCAATTAGTAATATGTACTGTGAAGGAACAAAAGATTGAATGATGAAGTAAAATGGATAGGTGCTGGGTGCTGATCAAGAAAAGTTTCACAGCGCAGGATACTTCTTTGAGAACTTGTTGGCCTAAAGGGAAGATCCAAAGCAGTGTTTTCCTCTCACCGGAACCTAACATCTCCCAACATGGGGCTTGGTGACTGTGATTTTGCATAAATAGCGAGAGCTCATTAGTGTCTAGGGCATAAAGATGAAGCAGAAAGGAAAGGAGAGCATGTGAATCTGTTAGATCATGCGAACCACAAAAGGAGAAGACATGGGAAGTTTACAACAGCAACAAACATAAAGTGATGTGTATATTTAAATAGTTGCTAAGTTCTATGAAAAATGGGGAGGCAGGAGAAATATCTACATCATGCATATAAAACAAAATGACACTGAGAGTTACTTAGGAAAAATATTCAACATTGAAAATAAAATATTAGATTTAAGAATGTATTTTGAAAAATGGTAGTTTATATATGGGAAGATATATTTCTGAAAACCAAGCTTTCATCTCTACAAACCGCCCCTCCTTCCAACTACTGTTGCAGCAAAACCCATATCAAACAGAATCGAAGACTCTTTACACTAGGCAACTTTTATTACACTCGTCCAAATCACCAACCATGAGTTAGCTTAGGAGTTCAGTTTAAATACAGTTTGCAAACAGAAAGTACAAGGCTGATGGCAGTTATTACATGATTGGTTACATGTATAAAGTCGTGTTGTCAAGCAAGATAGTTATAAGTATATTATTGGGAAGGACGGGAGAGGGTTGGAGTGGAGCAAATAGAACTAAATGTGCCAGTGACTGGGTCAGTTTTTTCCAAAAGGAAGTTCTTGAAGCAAATTGGAAACAATATATATTTTTCTAAGTAAAGAAAAACACAAGCCTTGCAGTTGGACACAGTCAAGTTGACCCAGTGGGTTATCAGGAGAAGCAGCTGGATGCAGTCAAGGCTGACTGAATTTAGCAGGCTAACTACATAGCAAGCAGCAGAATAGTCACAGGTCACTAATTGATATTTAAGTTTGCTGTAAAATGTAAGTTGGCTATTCTATAATTATGCCCTTATATTTCCCCCTATTATTATTATAGAAGGAATTCTTCTTTCTCATTTTCTTTATTACTAAGCAGCTGGTAAGGAAAAATAACTTTCTTTTTCTTTTTACATGATTAAATGGATAACATTTATTTTAAAGAGGATAAAACCAAGGAAAGTAAAACAGAATAAAATCAATAAGAATAAACCAGAATAAGTGATACAGGACTTCCAAACCTTAATGAAATCAACAATAGTTACTACAAGGCCTTTGTTGTCTTCAGTCTAGCTGCAGATACCACCTTAGGGCATTTTAAAAATTGAACAGAACAAAATAGAATAGAAACAATAAAAACAAAACAATGAATGCAATAAAGGACATCGAAACAAGCCAGTAGTAAATGCATAATGGCTTCCATAACATGTCTTGCTATCTTTTAAATAGCTGCTTATGCCATCAGAGTTAACCTAAACAAAACAGAAGAAAATGAAAACCCAACCCAACAAAACAATGAAAATGATATGTTTCTGGGGAAGAATCTCCTCCCCCAAGGAGGAGTCGCAAATGGCACTGACTCATGGAGAGAAGCTTGGGTCTGGCTGTCCCCAAGCTGGCAGGGATCTGTGCATGGCTCTGGTTTCCTGATTGGGATCTCCTCCCATGAGGCCTGGTTCTCTTCCTCCGTAATCTGCAAATAGAGCAGACTCACAGAGAAAGCCTTGGATATGGGAAAATTAATTTTCAAAAGGAGTTAGTGATGTATAGCTGCAGAGCATTCAGACATAAAGCATGTCAAAATGCAGATCACACAAGGGCCTAAAAGAAGAAGTGGTGCCAGGAGGCTCATTAAAGGACTCAGGAGCACTCATTTCCATGAGGGGAGAAAAATCTAAAGATCCCCATCATCGAGAGCCTTTCATAAGATTTGGAACTCTATGCTTGAGGCATTCCCTCAGCTGACCGGAGTTTTTTTCTCACTATTCCTGACTTGTAAGCATAGTAGTAGCATTCTTCTTCAAAGAAAAGGCAGGTACTTCAATACTGGGCTATCAGGAGACCTGGGACTCTGATTATGGAGGACAATTGATCCTTTAGTGTGGCTGTTGAGCTTTGTATGTTGGCAAAATGTCCATCAATCTGGACATTTAACGATGAATATTGTTGTAGACTTACACCCACAGCTGTAGCACTGAGTGTCAAACTCCCTGTTATTACTATCCCAAGTAATAGAGCAATATCACAGGGTCACGTTTTTGACGTCACCAATGGGCACGTGCGGGACTTCATTGTCCTGAATAAACAGAGAGGTCAGGTACCACAAAGCAAGAGTCGAAGACTCATTTTGGTACTATCAAATACTTGACACACCCTGTCAGGGCAAACAAAGAAAGTTCCAAGGTGGGTAGACTAACAGAAAACCTGAGTGACAGCCAACATATCTATAGTCAGTGGAGATATTTTGGCCCTTAATGGAACCCAGGAAGCAGAAAGTGTTTCCCCATACCATTGTAGGATGGGGCTGAAGTAAGCGATCAGGAACATTAGTTGAATTAAGTTTCAGAGTTATTTTGAGTGAGCTCAAAGCTTGATAGGATAGGACTGAAAGGGACACAGAGCCAACAGTCTTTGTCTAAGCCTGGGTTTATGTTGATTAGACATAGATCAGGAGTCGGGGGGCCCTGTGTGATTTACAACAGGTATAGGGGTCAATGAAAACACCAGTGATCTCCAAAATACAAATATACTTTGGGCTGTGGGGGGTCCCACTTGGTCTGATTAGGAATTATCTTGGTACTTGCACCTTCAGTTTGAACCTGAAATTCCCAATGTCCTGAATTTCCATATACTCTAATGTTAATGCATATTGTCCGCAGGAGGGTCATTTTCACTTTTGGTGTAAATAGCTAACTGTAGGCAACCCAAGAATTATATTTAAGTAGCAGAGAACAAAGGCAGCTTTCCTATTGAGTTCCAAGTCTGCTAGAATTGCAGCCCAGCAAATAACAAACACTGAGATTAACAGGAGATAAGGAACCAAAACTAGACAGAGTAAGAATGCATTGAATCTATAACTTGACAAAACAGATCAAGGTAGTTAGTACAATAGGTAAACCAATGTAGAAAAGTAAAGGCAGTTTTGTAAAGAACTTTCCAGTCCTCTAGGGATACAGTCCAGAGTTCTATGGCAAGTACTAAAATCAGCAAGATGAGAAAGATTAAAAGCCAAACAGGATAACAGAGCATCATTCAATTAGGACAGGTACTCCACTGTATTATGTCCATCTAATCTTCAGCTGTGCATTGATCTGCCAGCTTCTGAAGGGGCAGGAGCAAGCCTTTGAGCATGTTATTTGTTCAGGGTGATCTCTATGGGGTTTGTCCCACCTAGAGGGGCCTTCCAACCGCTGTCAGGATGAGCCTGCTTGATCCTGGAGTGGTGAATCCAAGACTGTATCCCTATCATTTATTTTGGTGCTCTGTCACTCTTTAGCTGCTCAAGTTGGCAGGGAGAGCATCAGCCCCCTAAAGATAGCCCAGTTATCTGTGTATACATATATGGGCCAATTTAAAAATGAATCACAAGCAGTTGCACTGCCTGCAACTCTGCCCATTGGCTTTACCTATCTGTTTTGGTTTCAAGCCAGAGTACTTTCATACTGAACTGGACAGAGACCATTGTCCGTTGTGGGACTGGGTCACAGCTAGACCCCTTAGTATATCTAGCACCATTCAGAGATATTTCTTTCCCTTCTGCATAGGGACTAGGAGTCACATCCTGTAGTTTGTCCTCATGGATGGGTTCTTAGCCTGTGTACTTCATGGATCCCAAAACCACTGCCAGTTTGGTTGCCAGCAGGCTAGCTGAGAAAGAGGCCTGCTGTTGGAGCTGTATCCTCCAACATGTGAGAGTGGAGACCTATGTCATTTAATTCTGGAATGGGATAGGCACATATTTGTCCTATGATTCCTCACAGGCATGCAAACCAGCATATGAGGCTGCCATTTCTTAATCCAGGAATACCAACTCTTGGTTTCCTTTCATAATTGTAACCAAAACCCATCAAGGTGTTTCTGCTGTATCTGTCCAGTTCCATGTCATGCCCCTTTTGGTCGTCTTGTATAAAGGGCACAGCAAGGTAGCCAGGTGTGGCACAGCCACAAAAACCTAGATAGTCCTGTAAAATGGTCTGGGTTGTCATATATGCCTGTAATTCAGATACTTTCATGGGTCTGGTCTTATCTAATCATATAACACCTAAGAACTTGACCGACAATCCAGGTACTTGACCTTGATGTCAGAAAAGCTTCTTTCAGACTGTGCACAGTAGCTTAAATCTGTAAGACAATCAGGTTAACATAGTATCATCAATACAAAACAGTGACACTATATGTGGCTTGGTGCAGGTGGCCAGGTTCTGGGCTGCCAGGTGATGACACAAAGTAGGGCTA